TTTTTTAAATGAACAGTTTAAAAAATAGCCGACAACAAAGTCAGTCCGATCGGAAAGTTATCATGTTAACAAAAAAAAATTATATATCGCTCCTATAGAAAAAGAAATAAAATAAATTCTCAAAAATAAATTTCAATTTGTATACAACAAATATACCAATGCTTTCGTGAGAACAATTCAAATTCAAGGATAATTTTAATTTTCCCATTGTAAATTTGTTGGTACGAGGTCATGAATACGTTTATAGCCAGATTTCATGTTTTAAATTATTTTATCGAAATCCGTTTGGCGAGAATTGTTTTAGCCATGATGTTTTCAGCCAAGAAATCTATAAATCTAATACGTGTTTTCTAACATTCTAGTGTTTCAATTATAATGAAAGTGACGTAATGGTTCATCTTGTTATCTTTTAAATCTAAACGAAATCAAATTTTATTATGACTTGCTTATGTAATACAATACGGCTTGACGATTGTTTAAACTGTAGTAAGCCTCATCTCGCGTTGTCTAGGGTCTCTTCGTTCATTAAATGCATATTTATGTAATGTTGCCTTGTTTCTATCATGGAATTATCTTAAAAAATATTTGAAATCTTTTATAAAAATAAATATTCATCGGTGTTTTTTATAACAATACATCAATTTCTTTATCGAAATACGATTTTGACAGGTCTATCCAAAATTTCAAAGGCGTGATTTGGAACAAAAAAGTTGTTATACTGACATCAAACAACGCGTCTTTGCTCGTGAAAATAAATACTTTTCCATTTCCCTAAAATTTCCGCTCAAATAAATGAGACTTACATCGTTTTTTGGTTGAATGATAACAATTCGTTTGACCTTTACGCCTGTGTTCGTATTTCGGTTCATGAGGCATTTCGTACACTATTTATTGCTGCATTATTACGTAGGTAGAAGTTATACGTGTTATTCAATATTACAATTAGCGAATGCGGCATACCTTTTTCAAATGAGAAATATTACCATTTTCCTTTATCCTTTACCTACCTGTTCATTGGAAAATACATATCGTCTGTAAAAATATTTAGTATACACGTAAATAGCTGGCTCCATTTGCACGATTTTTTTTTGTATGCATTTGGGTAGCATCCTAGATGAATTAGATTCACAAATCAGCTCGACAGATGACAGTGCAGTTAGTATCTAGTTTATTTAAGAGGAAAAGTTTACAAAACAACTTGCTATCTGTGTTGTTTTAACACACTTTATATGTTTCTCTCGGAGCGCACTTCTGACGTTCATGCAGACGTTGTTGCGGGCAAAAACTAGTATTATGTATGTACATTTAATATCAACATCGTTTATTTCATGAAACTACATTAAAGTAGCAATAAATTTTGGTGCTATTTAATTCTTGATTTATGGCTTTAAGTCGTGACCATTTTGTACAATATATTTCGCCAGTTTTTACTTTTTATGGCACGTATGAGAAATCCGATTATGTGCATCTCATTTACAAAGCCTCTGGATTGAAATTGAAAAGTAAAAAATTTGGTATCCTAAAATAAACTTATATTATTTTAATAACTCATAAGTTTGTATATAGATTCACAATTTCGTATAGTTTGCATAGAAACCAAAAAATATAATTTATCAGTAAAAATGTTTTAAACGCAAGTTTATATAGATTACGGATATAGATTACGGATTTTGATACCTTATTTGATTTTTTAAACAGAGAAAATACCGCTCGACTTCGGTTTTATGTCGACCTACCAGTTATTATGTGTAAATAAAAGGCAAAAGGTGGAAGATGGTGAATGCGCTATCGAAATAATAGGCCATATATTCTAGCCTTGAAGATACTTAAATTGAAATTGTAAGGCAAAACAGTCAAACTATTTCGATCTTTTGCTGTTAGCATGAGGAAGAAGGAAGCATATTGCTATATCTGAAAAAGAGAACTGTTTAGAACGAAAGTGTAGAGACCCACCATAGGTTTGGTTGTCTGGTAGTCAAAATGGGATGCAGGAATTGAACTGCAATTCCTGCGTACACTCAAAATTTTGTCTTACAGAACATGAAGAAGCTGCATCGGTACTTTTTGCCTTTGCTGTGTGTGATACTGAGTCTTCATGTAGCGGCCTTACTGTTTTACCTAACGACCTACCAAAAGTTCAGGTTGGAAGATAGGTCAATGCTTTGTAACCAAAGGCGGTCGGTCTATAAAAGTTATTCTGTAAAATTTAAGTCAAGGTGACTGGCCTCGTTTTGGCGTTGAAAAGATAATTAATAAAAAGAATCTCTGTGTTGACCGCCAGTAACGCATATGATGAGCTTTTAATAACTACTCGTAGAGCTCGATACCTCAGAAAGATAGAAATCGAGGCAATCACTTAAGAGAATATGCTATAACTAGAAAACTTACCAATTAGCCTATGATGCTAGAACTTGTTGAAAGCTTTCGAGACGTCAAGTGAAACTACTAAAGCTTCACCGTTGTTGCCATGAACTCTCCTCCGTCGAAGTGTGTCCTGCATCATAAGATCTCCAGTTAAGCGATTTAAACGAATTTCAGTGAAGTTTATTAAAAAAAATTATTCGCCATATTAAAGAATGACAAAAGATAGATATTTTTTGGATATTATTCATATAACAACTACTATCTTAATTATCAAATAGTATATTACTTGGAAGGAACTCAAAAACTGTCTCATTCTTAAAGCTTTTAAATATAATAAAATATTTTTAAGGAATGCAAAATAAAAATATTGATTCCGGATTGGACAACATACTAGCAATTTAGATTATAAAACGTATTAAAATATTTTGTTTTTATTGCGTTAAACTAATTAAGAGCGTTTAAAACGTAAAAGTTCCTTAATTGTCTTGCATAACTTTTCAATTAAAATAGAATAATTTAACGGACGCACTATAAATAAACATCACCATTGGGATGAAACACAAAATAGTATAAATAACCGAGTTAGTTATCTTACAGCGCCAAATAAAAATAACTGACTCCACCCTTACCAACAAATTTGTGTGAATCGAAAATATTTCCATTTTGCTAAATACTATAAAACAAAAGATTAAAGTTATTTTTTCTACATTAAGTCACCAATACATGCATGAATTTTCAAAGTTGTTTATGTTGTATAAAATTTAAGAACCGTTTATATGACCTAAAATTAAGTATTAGCATTTTATCTACAAACGCCTCAATGTGATTGTCTTGACCCCGTTTCATAGACTGACATTTATTGGTTAAGCTATATATTTAATAGGCTTAGAATTTACCTTACGTGTATGACTATTCTAGCAATAAATATTTTTAGTTATTTTTCTTCGTTATTATGCGAATAAGCTCTATAGGCTTCTGATAATTGTGAAGTTCTATTTATCGAATCGTTGTGTCTTTGACAAAAATAGAAACAAATAATCTTGTGGTCAAAAATACCAAATAGGTTTTGAAATTTGAAGTAACCGTTCCCGAGATAAGCATGTTCAAACAAACTTACAAGAAAATAACGACTTCCTCGGTTTCACAACGCTTGTATTTTAGTATACTATTTTTTTTATTTGGTCTTGAGAGAATTTTCAAGAAACTGCAAAATATTAATTAATAAATAAAATGTAATAAACAAAATTTCAAAAGAGAACACATGAAAAACCCATTAAATATTGTCTTAGTATAGACATATGAAACTATAAAGTGATAGTCTATTTTAGAACGATTTCAGTTCCTAGTAATGACACTTAATTTTCCTAGAGAATACATTTAACCTTCAATCATGTCGTTCTGTCATTGGTGAAAATTATAAATAATAGAAAACAAAATTTTTGTTTAAAAGAGAAATGTTTTAAAAACAAAACAATAACAATTTCTTTTAAAAGACGATAAACATCTTACATGATTGCTACATATGCAAATCGAAGACGAGGGAAATCGCACTTGTAGCACATTGTAGACCTCACGAAGCAAACGATAATACTCACTACTTCTGTGGCCATGTGATATTCGACTTTATTTTGCTGTAGTTTAAAGTTTATTTTGATATTTTAACATCTCTATAACTCTTTGCAGTTTACGTATTATAAAATATTATTTCATGGTTTCTGCATAATAAAACCATAATAACCGTCGAATATAAACAAAATTAATGGAGCGTATTCTAAATATCTTTCACCCTTATAATCCTAAAACTTAAAATTACACACGTTTATAATAATTTTATTTCATTAATGTTGAGGATTTCGTTAGCAGATTTGTGTGAAATGTCCTGTAACATAAATTATTGAGATGATATTTTTATTAGTTATTTAAGGTAAATCAATAGTTCAGTCGCATTGACCCATATAGAAAAGATCTAAAGTAACAAAAAGTCCGGACTCGGAATGCAATGACTCCAATGCTTAGCTTTCAGTCACGCGATCTGTTCGCGTCGTAAGCTTACTGCCAAGTTATGTAGACTTGCAAATATTAGAAAGGATTTATGTAGTTCTTTTTGGTTTAATAAACATACCATACTACATGTAATAAACATTGTAAATAAGTAAAAAATTTAATAACATATAATAATATAAAAACTTAATGAGTAGTTTTGATATTAGTGAATTAAATAAGTTTATCCTTATTTAATTATAGGTAAAATTAAACAAATTTATTTTAAAATATTAATATCAATCTGATCTTTTTACAATTAAAATACTTTTTAAGAAAATAATATATGTTTTCACCTATCGCCTAGTCAAACGATTAAACGGTTAAAAGTAGTACAATACAAAAACAATCAAAAATGCCACTTCTAATCTTTCCTAAAATTGAAAAGCATTTCCTCGGTCGCTATAACGACGGCCTGCCCTACTGTTTACGAGCCGAAGTTTGCACGAGAACAGTAACGCACCAACTTCGAAACAGAACCACCGTCGACATTGTTACAATCGACAATATATGTTCACACAAATAAAATTATACTTGTCCTAACAAAATCCACTTACTTAAAGTGTATACATTAATAAGAGGAAGACGAAATCAAGATGATATACACGATAGTGGTACTTATGTTGGTAACTTTGGTGCACTCTGCAAGAGAACCTAAACAAATAACATTACTAAACCAAGGAACAATAGCTGGGATGTATATTACTAGATTTAGAACGAAAAGAATTGCAGCGTATCTTGGTATTCCGTACGCCCAACCTCCGATAGATTTCAGGAGGTTTGCCCCACCAGAATATACAGATCTTCCTCAGTGGGAAGGTGTGAGAAATGCAACAACATTCGCACCAGATTGCATGCAAAGTGATCCGAAAAAGGAAGATGTACAAAATCCACTTAATAGACATGATGAATTATTCGCCAAATTATTGGAGTCACAGTTGGAAGAACCGAGGCAGAAGGAGTATTCTGAAGATTGCCTTTATCTCAATGTGTACGTTCCAGATGGTACGTTTTTTAGTCTGAAATGATTTTTAACTGTATTTTCATATAATTATCTGTGTATTTATTTTATATGAAAGCAATTTTTTTATATATTAATGATAAATACTTTTCTTTCTTATTTAATTTTAAGAAAATAACAAAATAGAAAAAAATGCCTTCAAAGTTTGAACATATTGCTAAGCTTATAAAAGGAAGTCTTGTATCTGCCTTGTTAAGGAATCTTTTATGATTTTTATTACAAAGCCCTCATAATAAGAATACGAATGAAACAAATATTCGTGATGACCTACTTTGAAAAATTTCACGTGATTTCCCCTTCATCAGATAAGACTGCCATTTCACCCTCAATGTTTCTACATATATCTAGGTTGACCCCCAAAATATATTGCGGTTCTGAATAGTTTAATTGTAAATGGTAATCTCTTATGAATATTAAACAAACTATAACAGCTTAAAGAACTATTTCATACGTGATTAATGAAAATAAATATTCATAGTTATTTAGCTATGATTAAATAGCATACAGATTACTTAACTGATTGTATATAATTATATAGTTTTGCTTATATTTTCATTAAAGTTTATTGAACATAAAATAAAATATTTCTTATGTTTTTATGAAAAGATCTCTACAGATCGTTATTACTTGAACGATTATTAAGGTCCTTTTATAATATGTAAAACGAAAACAGATGAAGTTTTCTTAATTAATACTAAATACAATAATAATAATTATCTAAAACTTAAGATTATATATGCAAATTATTTTATAAATATATTAAAATACAATTTGCATTTTGAGCTTGCCTGGTTTTAGTGAAGACATTTCGATGAGTTGTGAGATTATTGTTAAAATACTTATAAAACAATATCATGTACAATTAACAAACAATAACTTATATTAATTAGTATTACTTAAGACTAAGATCTAAAATTGTACAAAGTTGGCTTCCTATTTAAATAAATAAAGAAATAAATCATCGGTAAAGTACATCGCCATGAGGATTGTCACATATTCAATTATATAAGAGCTTTTATAATTGAATGCATGACATAAATCATATAAAATATCATATTTCATTTCTATATTATATTACAAAAGTATGATAAAACACAATGAACATATCTATACTTTAATTCTTCTCAAAAATATCTTTCTTCATTGATAAATATTTTAGGCAATAATTCTTGCTATCTTTCATTTTAACGACTAATCTTTTATTAGAGAGACATGCGTATGTATTTTATTTATTTAAACAATAGATCAGTCAGTGGTGGCCTAGTGGTTAAGGGGCCCGCCTCTCGTTGCCGAGGGCGCGGGTTCAAACCTGGCAAGTACCAATGTGATTTTTCGGAGTCTTATGTACTTTCTGAGAGTATTTAGACATCACTGACATACGGTGAAGGAAAACATCGTGAGGAAACCTGGACTTATAGTTTCACAATTATAAGTTTGAAATCACCAACACGTCTTGAGCAAGCGTGGTGATTAATGCTCAAACCTTCTCCATGTGAGAAAGAGGCCTTTGCTCAGCAGTGGGCGTCTGATAGGCTGATGATGATGATGAAACAATAGATTTAACTGTAAGTAAAATAATAAACGAATATATTAAGTAATTTCTGAAGCGTACCTACAATATACCTACAGATATTTCTTAAGAAAATAGGTAAAATTTCAAATCGTTGTATTGGAGAATGATGTCCAAATTTTCGCAAGCCGAATTTTCTCTTTTAAAAAATGTTGGTCCTTGTTACTCGAGTGGACATTACGAAGCCCTTGATGCCTTTGAAACGTGCTGGACTTTTAAGCGGAGCTTGTGTTCGAATATGCTTAAACGCAATTTTTCAACTTATATGGCAAAATTTGTGAAAACGTTAACCGTGGTAATAATAACCTAGTATAGGTACAAAATATCACTAAATACATATAAGATGTATACATTTTGATGTTAAATTTATATTGAAAAAAATTTTTGTACTTTCCTAAGTATTTTGAAGCTTTTAATGAGAATCTTTTTGTCAAACGTCCCTTACACATAACGTAAACGTTATTAATGTAACAAATATAAAATTTAAGTTTTCATAAAGTTTCGATATTAACATTTAAAATATATAGATAAGAAACAATAACTCACCCTCCTTGTTTCCTTTAATATTTTGGTTACCCAAACATATTTTGTATATTCATAACTGTCTGTATATTTTAATTTGCTTTCTTCTAGTTTAGTTAAAGTATTTCCGTACTGAAACCGGTGTATACCGATGAGGTAGTACATTTCCCTTCAAATTCTTATCTTTAATTGGGTTTTTGGAAGGCAAAATTCTTTATTATTCGAGCACTACAGATACCAAAAACTTTGACTGCTAAAGGGATATAGTTGTTAAGCACAAATTTCACACATTTTTTGGGTGAATTATTCACATTCCATTTTTTTGGGAGAGTAATTAAAGTGGATATAAAAACTGAATAACAAATTGATAAATATTTTCACAAAAGAAATTTTAAATATATGAAACATACATCTAACTGACCTCCTTAATTTTTTTTAGTTTTAAATCCCTACTCAAGTTTGAAGCTTGAAAAAAACATATATAATTTTGAACTTGATTCTTTAGCCATACATTTGTATAAAACCACCTTCCATTTTATTAATCACAATTTTCAAGTACCGTAATTGAAAATTATTTGAAAAGATGTTTGCTATGTTGATTAACTATCGGCTATTGAATCATTTCTTAGAACAAAACAATTATAATCTGCCAATCAAGACAAAGGCTATAAAAGTTGACCATAGTTTGTTTTATATTATGGACTACAATATTCGGAAATAACTTTAGCGAAGCACTTTGTTACTTTGTAGCACGAACCAATCGTATTGACTTTCATATCTAGAACAAATTGTATCAAATTACCTTTTCATCATTTCAGACGGACGGAATTATTTTCTTCTGGGTTTGACTTTGAAATAAATCTAACTTCTAAGAAACAAAAACCCTTTTTTATGAATAATTGTTGTATGTTTGGAATATTTCCTTAACTACTGTTATACTAAAATTTACTATGTTTAACTTATTTATTTATTTATGAATGATGAGATTTATATAGGATTAATTAAATAATGAACGGTTTGAATATTATTATTTGGGAGAATACATCAGTTTTAATATAATATAAATAGTATCTACAATGATCGTATCTAAATACTAGTAAGACAACAAATCAAACAGATGAAAGAAATATTTTTATTCAAAATTATTAAGCCATACAAATGCAGTTAATAAAAAATAGTAAACAAGAAGTACATATATAAAACTCCCATACTTCTAAATGAATTTGAAACAAATGTATGTAACTTTGGCTGATTTATATTCGTGAGGGAATTATCCCGCTAACCCTTAGTTAACGGAAATTTTTAAATTGCAAAAAGAGATTATAATTAATTAAGAAAGTATTCATTTAAGGATAATTGCTATTCAAATTAATTTATAGGACTCCGGTATTTATCATCCAGCCAGCCGCAATAGACTAATAGGCATTACGACTGTGGTGGCCTTTAACTCATAAAATCGTATTAACCGTTTAATAATAATAAAGTTAACGCCAATCAAATGTACCAAGACAGCCGAACATTTCAATGATTTATCTTTTAACCAACCAGTAATATTATTTAAATAACAAATACTTGATAAATTGTTAAAAGTCTAGCCCTAAGTGGATATAGTCCGTGTATTGGACTAAATGTTTTTTTTAATGACTTAACTGTAAATTGTTTTCTGTCCAAAATGAAGGGTTTTAGTGAGAGTAAAACATTTAAAACAACAAAACAAAGGCTTAAAATAAGTCTAAAATCATTTTAACGCTACAGTAAATAATTGAAATGACTTTGCAACTGTTTAAATAAGAAAGGTAAATTATGCAAATAACTTGTCTTTGTAACAATTGTTTAACAATAGGGAATATTTAATTTGGAGTTTCCAAACGGATATAATTATAGTTATTTAAGTCTCTTAATTAATGAAATCCATATGCGACTGTAATGGTTTCTGAGGTTTTAGTTTAAAAAAAATAAATTTAATTGTAAATGTGATCTTGTTATCTGACGTACTTTCTTAATTTTTTATGTCTATCAGAATGGTTTGTTTTGTATCACTCGAAGGACAGAAATCTTAGATAGCATAACTTCTTGTTTTTTTATGAATCTGCAAATGTCATGTTCTTTAATATTATACATGACTGTCATTCAAGATCAACATTTGCAGATGAAATATTAAATAAAACAAATATATAAGCCCTCATCCCAACTCTCAAATTTAATTAGAAGAACTAGACGACAAAGATTTAAAAAGTATTAAAAATTTAAAGAGTCTATCCCGTGTTTATAATAATCAATAATTTTTTTCTAAATTCCATGGATCCTTAAATCTAAATTCAACGTTAGATAAAGTACATATGTATATAAATAAATAAATTTCTATGTATCTATTCGTCTCTTTGCTGTCTTCTCCTCCCATCCTCACGATTGAATTGCTATTATTTTTAGTAAAAACAATCGTTACAAATTTTAAACAAGAACATAAAGTGAGATTTAATTTTTAATCTATATTCAAATATAATTCTTTGGTATAAATACTGTTTCACATTAAAACTTGCCATTTCGAACTTGACATGATACGATTTGTTCAAAAAATATAAATATTATTTATCTACCATATTTTTTTTTTTATGTGAAAGGTGGCAAACGAGCAGACGGCCCACTTGATGGAAGGTGGTTACCGTCGCCCATGGACATCCGCAACAAAATGTTGCGGATGCGATGCCAACCTTGTTTTTTGGGGATAAGGAGGGGTGGGAATAAGGAAAGGAAAGGGTAGGAATAGGGAAAGGGCAACCGGCTCTCTCACTCATCAGACGAAACGCAGCCAGTAAAGGCTACTTCACGCCGATCTTCTGTGAGAGGGTGGTACTTCCCCGGTCGAGCCTGCCCATGTTCGAGCTGTAGTAACTCACCACAGCTAGGCTCTACCACCTTAGTGGCTACCTACCATCTACCATCTACCATATAAACCTAAATATTTTTTTTATACATACATATCTTCCATGGACAGAAAACGAATCGTTACATTTTAATTATATGTACAAATAAACTTATAAAATGTTTTCAAGTGAGCTTGAAAACAAGTAAGTATAAATACAATATGCGAATTCTTAAAAGCTATTAGGCAGAGGCGCGACTCTCGGCTCATTTAATACACAACGCTTTGTGTAAACCTTTAAATGTCCTGCCTAAGTTAAGCCCTATTTTAGTTAATTAACTATATAGATTGCAGGTCAATTTAAATTGGTTATTAAAGAACTCCGATAATTATCAATTTGAACCAATGCTTTTTAACATAATTATCTATAATAATAGTTTTATTCTGAACTAACTTTCAGTCAATGTTACTGAAGAGAGAAATAATAGATATGTATATGAATATCTCAATAAAAACTAATGGAATGGTCCACGTGGTTCTTTAAATTTTCATAACTTATTTATGTATAAGCTGCATGGCTTGAAATAAAATACTAAATCGTAAGTGAAGTTTATGTCTTCATAGAATTAGCCGTTTCTGAGATCAGAATACAAAGAAATAGACAAACAGACGAAAATTCTAACAACTATTCTTTTGGGATCTATTGGAATTGTTATAAGTCAAAATAATATTTTTACTTGCATAGTATGTCTATACAGTAATCAGAGATATTGCTACTATATGTATACTACTGTATATATTTTATTTTTTAAGTAAAGATAAAAGGATGTTATATACTTGTATAATAAAAACATGATAATACATGTAAACATATATCAGAAATAACAAAAATGAGTAATAGATGTCATCAGAAACATATTTCACTGTAATGTTATGTTATAAATTGATGCTCTTTACTTGAAAAGATTTGAGTTTGCTAATGGACAGAATACTTACAATAACAAATGTGAAATATATTCCTCGATTTATAAAACTGTTTTCAAATTTTAAATCTTATCTCATTATAATAATTTAGTATAAAATATAAAGTACTAACCAAAGATTCAAAACGTCATAAAATTATATAAATCTGACATATACGATTGTAAGAAATAATGTATCATGACTAATACAATAAATTAATGTTGACCTCAATTGTCAAATAAGTAATACTTAATGGTTACCTAGTGTTAACTGGGCTTCACGGTTCCAAGTAAATTCTTAGCATTAATGCATGTATTCCGTGCCAATATTATTATGACTGTTTGAGGACACGTAACCTTAATAATAACTAACTAAAGCTCTTATTACACCGTAAATATTGGTTTAAACAATTCATTTTCATATCAACATTATTGAAAAACCTTGAAATTTTCTATAAACTTCTTAATTTATTTTAATATAGACAAACAAACTTAGCAGAATCATTGCATTTAAACATGATGTATTTTAAACTACTTACTCAGAAGTCAGAAATGATGTTTTTTTTTCATCTATTTAAGAAACATATTTTCAATTACCCAAAGAGCTTCCAATTCTTTTAAAGCGGAACAAAAGTATTGTAAAAACAATTCCACCTTTATGTCGGAAATGCTTTCTATGCAAGTCTTATTAATTATACTTGTGAATTTATTTAAAAGTTTTTTTTTTCTTTAAGTTAAAGGAAATCATTTAAAGTTATCCACTCGTAAAATATGAACGTTGAAAAAATTAAGTCTTGAACACATATAATTTTAATTTTTAACAGATATATTATACTTTTATTTATGAACAAATTCATAAATACATTTTTGTCACAAACTCTCCTAAATGACACTTGTTTTGTAAAGAAAAAATATTAACGTAATCTATAGAATATTAGGATGGTTATAAATAAAATAAAAAAAATCTTTTACTCGAATAGTGTTATAATCCTTTTTTATGTAATTGTACGTAGTTTAATATTTTTGTCAAAAGTGTTTTTACTATAGTATTAAATATTGTCTGAGGAAAATATATTAATAACAATTTATAGGCCGGTTTAATTTTGTTATTTGCGAACGCTCCAATCCATTTCGTTCAACGCCCCTTTATTACAAAGCGCCTACATTTAAAATTAATATTAATACTCAATTTGATTGCTGTTATTAAGATTGGTGACAAATAACGACTTTATTTAATTCAAAATATTAATTTTTGTATAGTATTAAACTGGCTCGATTAATTCATTATTTATAATTATAATAACTGTTTCTCTTTAACAGATTTTAAAATGGAGAGATATCCTACAATGGTTTGGTTTCACGGCGGTGATTTTGTTCGAGGCAGTCCTAATAGCATTAATCCGTTTCAGTTGGTACTGAAGCAAAAGGTATATAAACCTATATTATGTATGTACTTACAATCTTTATACCAATTTTCCATTTGCATGTCTAAAAGGAAACATTAAGATTTGGGATAAGGGAGTATAAAAATATTTTTTCAGGTAATATTTGTCTCCGTCGCTTACCGACTGAATATATTTGGTTTCTTTTCAACTTTGGATAATGAGGCCTCTGGGAACTTTGGCTTGTTGGACCAAGTTGCTGCATTAAACTTTGTAAAAAATAACATTCTCAGTTTTGGGGGTGACCCAGATAACGTTTGCATATTTGGTCACGACGCAGGCGCTGTTAGTGTAGGACTTCATCTGGTGTCTTCTTACTCCTCAGGACTCTTTCAAAAAGCTATTGCTATGAGTGGAAATGTTCTAGCACCAGATACTGTAAATATAGCGAGAAAGGAACTCATAACTGTCGACAAAGTAGCCAGCGCTTTTAGTTGTTTCCGGAAACCAACAAGCAAACTCTTAGATTGCCTCCGGCGTGTTAATTACCAAGCTTTATTAGACATCGGAGAACCATTGGCTCCTTGGAAACCGATCGTTGATAATGGCTTCAGTAACATATCACAGCCTTTTCTAACAGACTTTCCAAGTACAATGTTTCAAGACGAAACATTCAGCCCAGTCCCGCTCTTAACAGGATTCACTAATATGGAAGATGCATTGTTATTTTATAAAGAGGGTGACGATTCAGGAATAAGTCAAAGAGAATTTGATGTTATGCGTGAAGAGATGATACTGTCTGATATAACAGTAGACAACAGTTCATGTTTTACAAATCAACATCACATTCAGGATGCCGTCGAATTTTTCTATAAACCTATACCACCTACTAACAACGAAACCATATTACGAAAATTATTTTTAGACTTTTATACTGAGAAAGTATACGGCGCTACCACTTACCTATTGGCAAAACATATGAGCAAGCTTGCACCTGTATACCTTTACAGATTTGATTTGAAACCGTTCACAGACGCTGCAAATGAAGGCATACCAGACTGGATAACAGTGCCACACAATTTTGATTTAATATTTGCGTTTGGATTACCATATTCGGCATTGCCAGAAGATTTGAATAAATGGGACTATAGAGATAAAAGTATTTCCGATATTGTGATGAAAATGTGGACCAATTTTGCATGGTATTCAAACCCGACTAATTCTGGAGTTATTATCCAGTGGGATACATTTGAAATAGAGAGACCGGGATTCTTCATCATAGATAGACAAAATTTTACAATGAGCACACCACAAACAATTAACTATAAGGCTTTAGAATTCTGGACCGATTTTTACCCGAAAGTACTTGAAATCGGTACAAAATGTTGCAAAGAGGTACAAGAGGATTCTGGCTCTGAATCAGTCTTAACGAGAAAAAAATTATTGAATATAATCTTTATCAATTTAATTTTTATTTTTATAATTTGATTATTGTACTACCTGTAAGTGATTCTAAAGTTTATACTTTATTTTTTATAGTCTTCTTCTATTAAATAAATCAGTTTTATTAATAATAATATTTAAATAATTGATAGTACGATAAATTTAAGAAAGTAATAAATTTCTCTAAAAAATGTGTCTTTTTTTATTTATATCATTCTGTACGTTTTTCTTTTCTAATACAGTATTACGTTGCAATTTCGTTAACAATTTTTTTTTATTTAAATCTACCAGCAGTAGAAAATTCGGTGAATATTTACTAATTTGTATAACTCAATAAAAAAACTTGGCTTTGAATTTTAGAATTGTATAATTGTTTATTAAACTTAGACATTTAGATCAATACACGTCCATTGTTTCGCGAATGTTTCGTGATCAGGGGTCATTACTTATAAAACTTGGTTGTTCGGACTTCAACGAAAACGATAAGCCAGAAATATTGTGACTATGTTATTTCAAGCTTATATTTCTTCAACTTTGTTGCAAGCATTTAACGTCTAAATGTTTACTGTTTAGCCCCTTTAAAAATATGTTTGAATTTGCACTCCATTAAAAAAAAGTAAAAAACGTCGCAGCTCTTGGAAAATTAACCTTGGTTATTCTGTTTATGATTAAATTATCACTATTAAATGAAATAAACTTATGTAGATATAAAATATGAGTTTTGAGCATCAAATGTATGTAATCAAGGACGAACTAAAACGACGAGTAATGTCACTGGAGTTATATCATCGGAACTATAGCTTAACACCATATTTGAAAGATTTTTTTTTTATTTTCATACAAGACTGATATTATACAGGGAATTCTTTAAGATAAACACAAAATTTAAATATTGATATAAATTTCGTACTAATTAATGCAATATGGAATAAAATTAAAATTATTTCTAAGATATATTCGTACCTTCAGTATTATAAATTTAATTTATAGATACTAAAAATATAAGTCTTCCAATTAATATTTTTATATGTGTTAATATTATCGAACACGATTTTCCTGTATGATATTGGATTTATCCACGTCCTAAGTGTTGTTGTCACCGGAAAGTTACCTGTCCTTGTAAACAGTGAAAAAATATATTTATTCATGTATCTTAACTAATATGTATGTAAAAATAAAAATATCATGAACAATTTAAATATAAAGACAACTTTGTTCAGTTTCTTAAGTTTATTTAATTGGTATAACCAAATACTAATAATACTATTTAAGTAAATAATTCATTACATCACACTTTATGGACTTCATCAATACAAAACAATAGTCTTGAACAAAAAAAAAATCCATTTAATTTAAAATGTAGACATGTGTAGCATAGTTTCCTTAATAGTTGAAATTTAAAATTATGTCAAAAAAAACATAACACGAACATTTAGTTTTATAAGCTTATCTTGTTCAAAAAAATAAAAAGCGAAGTAAAACTTATCATTTACATTTTACATTATAGATTTTTTTTTAATAAGAACTTTATAATATTAAAATCATTGTTATAAGTCGCATTCAAATTTATAAGATGAAACAAAGGACGAAATTGAGAATGTTTAAAACTCATAAAAAAAAATATGTAGTACCATTCGTAGGTTTAGGTACACCTAAGACTTCTACAGCGCATCCGAACATTTCTCGGACCTTTTATTGGTTTTAATTAAGTTTTTAAAATTCATCCGGGGTGCCGATGATGGACCAAACGGCAGGCAAGTGTTCTAATTATAGAAAGGTGAAAATAGGGTTGGCTCTAATCCAGCTGCGCTAACCAGTCTCCAGTTTATATAAAGCTGGAAAGGTTTTATATGAATAAAGCAATTCAACTGTTTCAAATTAAATATACGATGTTGTGAACCATCGCTCTTAAAGATCAGAAAAAATATTGATAGAAAATTAGGTTTAATGCCAGCTCTTTCTCATCTTTATAAATATATCCTACCTCGCATTGGCTGTGACATTTTAAGAGTATTTTTTGTTTGAGTTACTTCTAATAAAGATGGTTTCGGCATTATTATAGTGGGCACCATTAAAAAGGTATGCAAAATCCTTTAATTATCTTACAGATGAAGTCCGGCACCCAAATACTAACCCAGATATTATACAGATATTGCCATTGCCACCTTGAAATTTTAGAAACTTATGCTTTATTGATAGTGGTCGAGCAAGTCTAGGAAGATTATATGTATATATATATATGTATTTCATTTTAGATCAGTCTCCGATTTTCTATTAAAGATTTTGAAGTTTTTCTTTCAGAGATAACAAAGCCTTCCTAAGGGCTGTAATGCGAACTCTAAACGACGTAATCTATGTTCTTAATTCAACCATCCATAATTCCTAAAATTATAATAATTGCTTAAATTGAAGACTGATTAATATTTAATATTTAATTTGTTCTCGTGTAACAGTTAGTTAATGGCAGACAATAATTGTAATTATGTAATATCCATGACATCTTTTTATCAGCATGTGACAGGGAGAGAATAATGCAGGTGTAAGGTACCATACGAGACAGTGATCCGTGATCCGAAATGCGTCATTGCCTCCTGAGGCGATGTATTTCTTCTGATGATCATCAAAATGCAACGCAATCCAATCACTAGATGAAAACTTTGTTTTTGAGATAATTAAAATCAATACAAATCCGTTGGTTGAGTGAAAGTTAGTTCCTCAATATTAGCGGTTAGTTCAGATATCGTCTTCTGCCGTATTTGAATTTCGTTGCTTTATATTTCCAAAGGAGGACGCAGGGTTAAGTCGTGTTCTTTAGTATTATAACGGAAATTAGTTGTATTTAAAACCGGAATTAAATGTCATTTTAAAATAATGATAATAATAAATAAATTTTTAAATAAATATATATTTTTTTGTGGGTATTCAAAAGAAAAAAGCCACTTGTTGAGACAGATATTGAAATTGTGAGTTACTTACAATTTTTTGATGTCATTTTGGTACACTGTCCAGGCTAGAAACTCGTGATGAACATTCATTGTCACTCTTATTTTTTTCACTGTCCATAACGTTGGAAGAGAAACAATTATTTAAATATTAACACTTTTCAATATGAACACTTAAAACACTGTAACAATAAGCACTTTTTCTTTTAAACCAAATATTAAAATGGAGGCAAAGATTGGTGTTTGAGAGGGGGTTGTGCAAAACAGTAAAATATTCTGATTTTTATTGAATCCATAAAAAACGTAAAATCTATAGTGCTATGTAAAAGCAAGGTATATGTAGAAAGAATATTATTCGCTATTCTCTGTCAACCAAAAGAAGAGACTAAGTGTAATCTAAACGCTACAAAATTTTTGAGAATTAGATATATTTAAGTTTTTTAAATCTAGATACTGTGTTCGTGATACTATTATATATATATATATATATATATATATATATATATATATATATCCCAACGCAAAGTGAGGGCCGTTATCAGTATAAAGTTGAGGTGTGCTTCTGTTTGTGTTATAGGTCTTTGTGTATTTAGAATTGAAATTTTCAAACAGATAGACAGATTTCAATACGGTATCCTTCATTTGGAAGCCTGTTTCCATGCAATGTATTTTAGACACAATTCGATAATATTGGTCCGGCAGGGTAAGTTGGAATACATATTATCACCATATACTTATGTATGTACACATGTTGACATCAATCATAATGGGAAATTGAAAAATCTGACAAACTCCCAATATTATTTATCAAGTATGGATATATTGAATATAAGTGGATATAAGTAAGAAATTTAAGAAAGAAACGGTTCTGAAAAAAAAAAACTTTTTAAACGAAATACAATGTTTTCAAAAAATGTTGCTCAAATGCAACAACAAGACCAATATCGTTTTAGTTCAACACTATTTAAAAGTAAATCTGAAGTTGTGTATGATTTTTGACTCGCTGACTTTATCAAATGCAAAGTTATATTGAGTTTACAAATGTCACGAAATGTCTCAGGTACATCTAGCACTCGAGTGCTCAAGACCAAAGAAATTGTACGCGCAAATCTTAAAGCGCCTACACATTTTCCATCTACTCAAACTATGAATATGCTTATTTTATAATATTTACGTAGGCACTTATTTGAAAATATTCAAAATAAAACATACTTACATCTGTATATTGCGAATATAAAAATCTAATTATACCTTTGAGACAACTAGCGTAGCAGTGTCAATCTTATTATACCTACCTACATACCTAAACTGTTTGTTAGTGTCAAGGTTATCTTATCTTTAGCAAAGGTCAAAGTATCACAGCTTCATACATTTGAATTAGTAATTCACAATAATATTTCCTATCCGATCAGTCCATGTTCTTTTATCAGTAAAATCTTAACAAATACAGTTAGGTATTAAGGTTATTGTTAATATATATTACTGTCAATTAAAAGGGATTTCCCATTACTTGTAAATTAAAATATATTTTATTAATCTTTGAAATAAACATTGCGTTAATATAATTTCAAGATTAAGCAAATAAAGCTTAGTATACATAAAGGATATACCGGCACCTAATAATTAACTATACTATAATATTAAATTTTATTACAAAACCACTTTTTCATTTTACTGCGTACATTCATAGGCTTACTTATAACATAATGATGTCATTGCGAAAATCAATTTCTGACAAATTTATATATTTAACTAAAATTGTTAAATTGTACGCCATATAAGCGATACAGAATGTAATAAATGTAATACCTCGATAGTTTTACCTTTGATTTTATACTCTGATGTGACCTGTGAATAGAATCATAAAAATTTACATATATTTTATAATAAAAATGTGTCATACAGTGTGTACCTACCTTGATAGTGACCCTACAGTTTTTATTGCGGGCTTTTTGCATTATAACGGATAAACCAGTCGATGAGAAGCGAGCGTTGAGACTGGAGTGTTATATTTTGTAAAATACAAACATTCGGTAAATATTTCATATTATTTTATAGATTTTATGATAAAGAACTGATCTTACAAAATTATTGTTTACTTTAAAAATACTTAAATATTACTGACTGTAATCTTATGTTTTGTGTTTATGATAATTTTTGTTGTTCTGTAATATACATGTACCTATATTATCAATTATCATTATTTATTAAGTGTTTTTTGTTCTTATGTTTATATTAATTGTGACTTTTGTGATGAGAATAAACAAAAAAATTTCGGATTCATACATACATATGTACATCAAGATTTTCCTGTTAGCATTTCGCGACGTCATATTTATTTTATATTCGCCTTTGACTTAATATGTTTAGGTATGCTTAAGTGATGATTTCAATAGAATTTAATTATTCGAGGTTCCTTATTTGATTAATATTGTACGACAAAAATCGCGTCTTCGTTTTGAGTAAATTTCATAGAAAAATGTTATTCAGTTGGAAAATTTTGGTTATACTTTTATTTTTTCCCTACTCTAGGAAAAGGGCATTATAAAACATTTTCTCTTACGTTTCTTTGAATTTAATTGCACATAAAATAGGAGATAATAATGTTTATCTTATATACAAAAACATAATTGTATATGTACAGTTCAAAGTGGCAGTTAAGATATTGGTAATAATTGTATTTATGTATAAATAAATCTATTTAATAACATTATCTTGGGTTTTTAAGGTTCAGATAAGGTATTTATTTCATTCAATGTTTCACAGGCAATGGTATATAAACAGACATTGATGCTGTGTTTGTCAGCGTGGCTGGTGTCGGGTCAACGACCTTCGTTTGCGGGTTCGAAGCCTATTGGATATCCGGAGTTAGCTACCTCAGAGAGCCCTCTCGGTAACAGGTATTAATTTTTCCATAAATTAAAAATACTGAAGAAATAGATATTAAATTTGTTAATCATATAAAAGAAGAATAAACTTACTTAAATCCTATACAACTTATGATCTACAGTACAGTATTAAAAAATATATATATGTTTTCAGGTTTGGTAGCAATGATGTCCCGTTGCCAGTAGAAGCGAAAGGAGATAGGGATCTCGTTGAGCGTCTATCCAAACTACCGATCGACCAGCAGCCATTCTGGTACATCAATTGGAAGGCAATTGAAGCAAACAACAAGAACCCACAAACATATCCACAAAGAGGCAACTCATTCATTGACCCTAACAATGGTTCAGCTCCCAGTGGCGCCCAAAATCCTGCCAACACAAATAACGCACCAAATTCTTCGGACCTCACCTCAAAGTTCGGAAGTCCCAATGAAAATTCGTTCTCCAACACGCCACAGAAGCAACAGTACCGTCAAAGAAATTACGGTCGTTAGTTGTATGAAATAAAATCACAAATCCACGAAATAAAACATTTTATATTGACTTTTAAATAAATAAAACTTAATTAATACTAAGCGTATTCTTAAACTATCCTTAGGGAATAAAATAGAAATAGCAAAATGCGATTATTTGACACAACAAATAATAATTTTAAATATTATTACAACCTGAGAATAATTTCTCCGACGAGCTTATATGAGAAAAAATTCTAGCAAAATATGTATAGGGTAAGATAGAGCATGTTTAGCACAGCCCTTGTTGAATATTTGCCTTACGTTAAAAGCTATTGGTTATCATTTTGAATGAACCAATGAATTATTAAGAAATCGTTTAAAATAAAAAATAGATTACATATTACACAGAAACGAATAAAGGAAAGATTACATCGGAATCATTAAATTAACGCTTCAATTACATTTCATCAAAGGAAAAAATTCTATACAAAAATATAAGGAACTTCTGCTGAACATATTTCATGAATGAAAAATTTCGTTGGAATTTAACAACTTAAAAATTATCAATACTTATGTATTCAAAATAATATAACACACAAATACCATTTTGGTACATTTATCACTATACAAAGACACGTTCTGTGAGCAAAACTAATAAGTACAAAAATCACAAAACATTCGCTCGAAAAATATGTATCTTTCATACAAAAAAGTTTATTGCTACAATAAGGATGGGGTTTAGTTTGTCACAGTGTGTATAAAACAACGGAATAAGCTCTTACAATTGAAACTCAAAGGTAGCAATGATTTCGTTACCGTGCTATGGTAATAAATAGACAAAGAGCCAGAATAGCGGAAGAAAGGTAGTGTGTAGTTGAAGAGCCAGTAGTGTTTGTTATGGAGGGTAGTCTGACACTTTTATAGTTGCATGACTTCTCCGCTACGTCGTTGTTTTTGATTTCGGTAAACAATGGGAATTCCTCTATTTGTATCGGCTGCAAAAAGACAAATTCTTCATTAATATATGAGTTTTATGTATTTTTATTTGCTAATTTACTTTATAAGTTGATTGATGCTGTCCCCAGAGTGAGATCAATTTCACACAATCAACCTAATAAAGATTTTATAAAATTATATCTATTTTTATAAATTTCAAACCTTCGAATATAAAATAAATCAGACTAATAAAATAAGACAAAAAAATCCGGATCTTTATTAATCGCATCTTTGATTGTTAGAAGCATACTATTCGTCACTTATGTTTTAATAATTATTTTATATCCACAAAAAACATATTAGGTCTATTCCAAAAATGTTATGAATCAGTTAAATGACATTCAAATCGAAATAAAATTATACTTACAGTTCCCCAGGAATCGTCTCTTTTCTTACAGAAGGTCATGTGGAAGCCGCTATACAATTTCTTTTCAATCTGTTCTGTTAGCAAAGGCTCTGACCACGGCATCTCATTCAAATGGTCCATGAACGTCTTGTTATGGAATTCCAAAGGCTCTTTGATAACAAGACCCTCTGAAACAATCATAAATAATAATTATATAACTATAAATCGCCTTTTAATTATTTTTTTTCTTTAAAAGTAACAGAATTTTTAAATGATCTATTTTCATTCTTAGGAGAAATTTTCAATGTAACATAAAAATTACAATATATTATTTAGTAATGTTTTATAGTCAGTAATCGTGGTTTTTCACAAATTTTTAACAACAAAAATATTAAACTGGCAACACAATAAATGTGTAGACGTATATTTTTTTAAGATAAATGAAATAGCTTTAAATAAAATTATGACTAATAAATAAACGTTTAAAACAGGCAAAATATAAGATTCATTTGAGAGTAATAAATTTTGTTAGTTAATTTCTTAACTTACTCATCAACCCAACTCCTTGATCGTCTCCCTCACGTACGAGTCCTTCATCCTTGTGTCTTAAGTGTAGGGATATGGCTTCAGGTGATAACGAATCGAACCTATACATAACATTACTTTGATTTAACATACACTTACTTACTTAAAGATGATCAGCCAATATATATACATATATATAATTTGTGTGACAAGTGCATTATTAAACCAGTGTCGATATCTTTAAAAACAGAAAAAATAAAGTAGGATGAAATGATAAAAATTAAATGAAAAATAATTTACGGACTTTCCAGGTCGGGGAGGGAATTTAGTAGTTTAATGTCAATTTCCTGTAAATAAAATAAAAGAGGGTTTTTCAGAAGGTCATCAGAGTACACAACTATTAAAAATAAATGGAAAGAGCATTTTCCAAACGATATCGAGTGTCATTTTATTAAAAGGGACATGATTATATTATCCAAATATGGTACTGCAAGTAAGAAATTTATTTTTTTCTTCACCCTAGGAAAATAGAGATTACAACGAACAGAAAACACACCAAATTTTTGAAAAAAGCTTATATTTTGACGGTTTATTTTTCGATTAAAAATGAGGCTGATTTTGCGATAGTAATTCAAAAAGCTGAAAAAAAAAAAATTCTAATCTAATAAATTACAGAGTGTTTGGGATATTAAAAGGTAAGTTTTAAACAAATTTCGTGATAAAATATATTTTTTGTAGAGAGAAATAAAATTTTAAGATCTTCGTTTTTTGAATTTTTCACATATATGTTGATGTTATGTGAAGAAAATGTAAACACTAAAGTTTTATATATTTTGATTACCTTTTTTTTTTTTTTGTGCGCACTGGGATAAAAATGCTTTACGCATCCCCTCTCCGTCGGGAGACGGGGAGGGGTATGTGGGACTCCCCGGGAGAAGGAAAGGAAAAACAACCCAGTGGCGCTCCGACCTCGCCTGACTGACAGGGGGCTGGGAATCCGGTTGCATCCAGCCCCCCGTATATTTTTATATATATTTTGATTACCTACAACTTTGCCATGTAACTTTTTTCCGTAGGACTTTTAGTTTTGCCGGATATCGAGAAACCCCCTTTTTTACCCTTAAATACCTACTCCCATAGCCTTCCCGACATCAGATCGCCCGTAAATTATTTTTCCTTTAATTTTTATAATATTCCTTTTCTGATGGGTTTCATTCTACCTTTTTTTTCTGTTTTCAGTCATTTTAATGGCTTCTACACTGGCCTATATAAGATAGTTAACAACTTACCCGGTCATAAAGAATATCTTCTCCAAATGAAGCATAGACAAACCATAGAATTGTTTGACGCCGAATGTTTCAAAGAATTCAACGACGGGTGTATTGGAATAACAGCCGGCTAGCTCAGTACGAGGGTAGTATAGAACGAATGATAGACACATTTCCTGTAAAAGATTAATAAAAATTGTAAAAGTAATACTTACACTTGCTGATATATTTGCCAGTTTATATATTTAAAGATTTATTGAAAACATTCCTTCCTTTGTCAAAAAGATTTAATTTAAGCAGGTAAAAGTATTTATTATATATATTTCATTTTATAGTAATTCCACAATTAATTTTAATATAAGTTGGATAAAGTATAAAGAGACACAGGTACTTTATTAAAAAAGTAATAAACTATTTATAGCAAATTCAATATAATATAAAAAATTAATCAAGAGTATTTCAATCCTACCTGTCTATCAGAGTAACCTCCTATAATTGGCTTATCTCTCGAAGTGCTGTCATAAGTACATTCTGTTATTAAAATGTCGCCTTGGTAAAATTTTCTGCCTCCAGGCACAATACGAGACTGTTGATAGCGATGGTCGTATGTATTTTCCTGTAATATTAAATTCAATACTTGAAAGTGACATCTACGGTCAAAATAATATACTACAACATAATTTTTTTCTAATAAGCGCCATCTCTAATTTAATATTTGAATCATTCCAAGGCCATAATGGTTTCAACTATGATTGACTTTTGAAATGTATAGATGACACTAACTACATGAAATAGCCGATCAAATTGCATAGTGTCAAAAATGAATCATAGATGGCGTTAAATATAAGTTTGTGAATACCTGCGATATTCTAGGAAGTTCCTCATTGCCTCGAACATGTTTGAGTGAGATTTTGCGTGCAGCTCCGTGAGCGTGAAGCAACACAGATACAATATTTATTCCTTCTTCTGGCATAGTCTGTAAGAATTTATAAGTTAACAAAATGAACATATAACATATATACGAAGATTTTGCTTTCTCTTTACAATTTAGACATTAAATGTCACTATTTATAGTTACTCACGTTATTAGTACAGTCCGAGCTACAAATTCCAACAGTTCTATAGGCTTTTTGTTTAGGAGGTACGACGTGTAGGGCTGATACTCCAATACCTGTACCCAGTAGAGCAGCATCATGGGGTCTTAATACTGAAGTGTAGTGGATTCGAATACCAGAACTATCCAGAACTGGAAACATAAACAATATTATATTTTTAAAAATTCTAAGGAAAAATCCTCCGATATTTGAATTTTTCTGCCTACTGAAGTCACAAACTGGCAAAAAAAATAAATCCTTGGTAAGTTTATATAAGAATTCTAGGGATGATATATGAAAGGGCTTAGAATTAAATATACAAGATTTACTAAAGTTTGAAATATGTACGTTAAAAAATTATCATTAAAATTTTATTTCTTACCAATTAAAAAAAAAACTTTAAATTCAAACATTAAACAGGTGATATTTAGATTTATCAAATATCCTCATATTAAAGAAATATGTTTTTTAATATATGGGTCGTTAATAAAGTAATATGGACCCTACCGTCATGAAGCGCCAGATTGTCGTAATGAACCTCTAGCATGTAGAAGGAAACACCTCCTTTCTCGCCTAGCGGAATCCCAACGTTCTCAGGCAGGAATTCACCTAAACGATACACAAATAATTATATATCGTATCCGTACTGGATAAGGATCATAATCGCTTAACATTGCGTATCACTTTATATTTATATAGACAAGTATGTTCCTAATATTGAATTGGAATTCTGATACTACGGTCTTAAGAAACAATTTGATGTGATGCGATGCATAATGACAAAGTGTTAGAAGTTTAGATATTTTGATCGTGAAGCAAGATGCCAGGGTAAATAGTTTCTTGAAAACAGGTAGAACGTTAATTAACACTCTATAAATAGCTTCAAAGTTTCCTTAAACAAAAACTGATTCCTAATGAGGTAATTAAGATTAGCTGTTCTCCAAAAATATCCTATAAAATTTTTAATCACACCAAAATTTACATAGATAATAACTATTTTTTAATCCTTGAGTGTACAATTTTATGAATGTCACAGGAGTTACTAACCTTTGGATCCGATGGCCCATGCCGCGATTGGGGTAACGCAAAGTCCAAATTCACCGGGCCTCGTTGGACCAAAGAAGCCATCACCTTCCGTCCACTCATTCCATTGTTTTTTGTCATTATCTTCAGCGCATTCATACAGCACCATATGATGTACTGGAGATTGATTGTCCTTTTCCAAAACAGGTCTCCCATTACGAATTGGTCGACTATCTATCAAAGGTTCGTAACCAACTATATGGTGTTTTGTTGGAAGTTCCGGTGCTTTAAATAACTTACACCAGAACAATGTGGCCAATGCGTGAGGAATTGTCAGCTGTAAACAAGAATTTATTTGTTCATATAACTATGTATATATGTAACCATCTACTTTTAAATTAATCCAATACTTTTTAAAACGTATTCGGAATGAAAATAAAATTTATTAAAATTAACTCAAGGACTTAACAGCAGATGTATTATAACTTATATAGCTATGCTACAATTTTACATTAATAATATTAACAACATAAAAAAAATTACGTCTTGTACTTAAATTAAAATTTCGTTAATGGAATCTCTAATATTCTTATAATAACTGTGTATGATTGAATTATGTAAACTATTTTATGGTATATTCGATTAATTTTCTTTGCAAAAGGTAATTTCAATAAATATGATTAAAGGTTTATTACGTAGAATTCTTATTCTTCCTCCTGATTTCAATCACAATGAAAATATAATTAGTTTGTTTCAAATACTGTTTCATTTAAATTATTTATCATAATTTAATAGAACTTTACAGTTACAATTCAATTTTATAACTCACGTTGCTGATTTTCACATCCCAATGCATTAACTGGTTTGCGGGCTTGGAAGGGGGCTGCAATAGTCTTAAAGGTCTGGAAACGACTTTAAAATGTCGGGGAAGGTCTCCATCAGACCCATCCGGACCCATTGCCCAGAGTACTTGGGTTGTGTCTTCCTGTGAAAAGAATGCCAAATAGTTTGTTTTTTGGGGTTTCGACTTGACTCTAATTGGTAATGGCTTTGACAACGTCACCATGAGGTCCAAATTGAAATAATCCTTGACCACGGATTAATGATATAATTTATATTCAGATAGACGTTACAATTCACAAGACCAACAGAAAAAAGGATGTTAATTTTTTTCAAACTGTAATCTATTTGACCATCATACCTTGTGACGTTTCTATTTCACGAATTCATTATTTTCATTGTATTGATTTTACTAATATGATGTGAAAAAAAATTGTATAACTATCCTTTATCCAAAAACTCACCCCAATAACAAAATCCTGTCTATCACACGTAAGTAACAGCCGCCTGAACTCGATGGTAGTGTGGGTAGCGTTCTGGTAACCAGTTATCAGCTCATAATTCTGTATCTCGTCAGCAACAGCTCTGTCTTCGAAGGTAAGACCATGGCAATCCTGAAATACAATCATGGTTTTTATTACAAAGGTATTTTTAATTTAAACGTTAAATGCTAATAATTTTTCAACGATTCATTCCGTAGTAGTTATATTTTAAAGGTTTTTTATTGGAAAGAGTGGATGAAATAAACTTTCGTAGGTAATAAAATTAATTCATTAAAGCCTTTGTAATAGAAGCGACATAAAACTTTTGCTATAGATTAAGACTTAGACGATTGTAACGTCGTTAGTACTGATTGCCAGTTATCAAACTTTTTTTAATTAAGACCTTTGAAATATTATGTGGGCTATCGGCTCTTAAATCTAGGGTTATTTATAAGGAGATAGAATATATTCAATTGGATTAATTTTGAGTAACAGTAAAATGACATTAAGAAGATATTGAACAACACAAAAAAGGACAGATCTATTTTGAATGGCGCTATCATTTGGACATCGAACTGGCATATGATTAATTGTATAAAATTTTTTGTAGCTTCAACTGCTTCCTTAGATATTAGTCACACTATCGATTTAGGAAATCCAACTTTCCAAAATAGTTGTGTCGTCTTGCCATTGAAAAACAAACTTTATTTCAATGCACTAGCAATTAGCATTCTCTGTATGGAGAAAATATTACTAACAGCTGATACGGGCTTTGAAAGACAGATGCGCAAGAGGTGTGCAATAAAGATAAATAATAATTCTACTAGTATTATCTGTTTTTTTTATGCGGCAGATGTAACTGCGCACGCGCCGGCCTTTGAGCACCTGGCGATGATGGGGTGTCATCTACCAAATGTCACTGCACTCGCATTTTTATTATTTGATGCAAAATTGTATTCAAAAGAAAAATAATTACTAAATAAACACTTATGATTGTAAAAAATTTAATCAAATTTTGACTTTGTACTAGAAGAATTTTATATATCGTGGATTATTATAGTATTACAATCCTTTAGGGAGCCTAATAAAACAATAAAGTTGGTATTCGTTGAACATTTCTAAAAAAAGATAACAATTTCTTTGTATTTTTTGACATTTAAAATTTATTGTAGAAGACCAACGTTAGGAAGCTAGAGTGCTTGTTTGAAATCACAACAATTAAGCTCAGGATGTAATATAAAGAGGTTTAATTCAGTCGTGGGAACCACTGGCGCACTTTGAATCTCTGAATCCATGCAAAAGCCTGTTCCTAAGTACGTATTGTTCAATAGGGCTGTAAATTCCTGATATATTTATTGTAATAAAAAAAATATTCTTAAAGATTAAATTTTAATTTCTCATAGGCAGTCATAAAATGTATACTTAAAAGTAATGTATCTTAAATGTAATAAATTCTATGAGTTTCTGGAACATCGAAATTCTATATATTTTATGTAAGACGTGCTTCCAAGCTATAAAGTTAGTGATAAATTGCCATGATGAGTATAACTTCGTCGAATACGGTTTATGGTTTCGCGTATTAAAAGGTAATAACAAATTCTGAATAATAAGTAATGAGATAAACTGATATCGCAATTTTGAGAGACGTGATTGTTTTTGTAAATATATTTTTTTATAATGTTGCGCACAGAATCCAAATTAATAATGATAATGTATGCGAAACACATATTTTAAGTGCGACACGTGATACTACAAGATTAAAGAGCTTGATTATATACTGTTTTTGGGAATCAATAAATTGTTTGTCATATAAATATTCAGACTTTTATTCAAATAGCTTTACAAATATTATGACTATCTTACGGTAAAACCTAAAAATATGGTGTATCAATATCATTACAACGAGATTTTATATCAGCGATGATTTTATTAAATATGTACATATAATAATGTTATTAAATATAATATAAGTTATTTTTTATGTACTGAAATCAGAATTAACTATGATATCAAAATTTTAAAAATACTTATTAATCTAAGTGGCATCCCTTGAGAAAACGATAACAAATGTTACATTCCATTAGGAGCAATTCGATTCCATTTCAAAATGTTTCAGCATAACAAAATTATTAAGCGTTATCTTTTGTTCGATATTTTGAAAAATATAAATCTATAAAGATAGATAACATACATATCAATTACGAAGCTTTGTCTTTCCAAACTATATTTTATGATTGTCTTCAATCCTTAAAACTTAATTAATTAACTAAATTTCAAAACATTTAGAATGCCTGTATACATATAAAAGGTGTGAAGAACTTGCTTCGTTTAATAATATGCGTATATACCTACATTTCTTATGTACACCTAGATGATAAAAATTATACAACTGTTTTTATTCTATTTTATATAATATTTATTAAGTGTTTTGAAAATAATATGAATTACATTTAGATTTTTGAATGTATTATATTTTGACATTAAAATTATCTTCAGTGTTTATACTATAAATTTAATGAAAAACAATGAAATAAATTTTACTATAATAAAACAGAAGGATAAATGATTATTATTATCAATAGGGAAAGAGGAATTTCTATTACAGCAGATTCAATATTTGCATTATATTTCATACATTTTGAACATCCATTACAATATTTGCTTGCCTCAAAACAACTAAAGTATTTATTTTATATCAAAATATGGCACTATTATATATTAATAGAAAATAAGTAATGTCTTATATAAAATCATTAAGTCATTAGTGCAAACAAAGTAAATGGTATCTATAACTTTTACTCTATTTTAATTAAAAATTAAAAAAAAACTTTAATTCAATATACATATATGTATATGTATATAGGTATACCTGCCCTATTCTTGAAAGATTTACTCATAATAAATTCATATACCTATTTTATAAATTATTAGCTTTATTACGTTATGCACACATGAAAATCTTATTCTCATATCTAATCTATTTATGCATTCCTGGAATAAGTACAAAGAAAGTCTTCTGAATCCTTATTCGAAGAAGGTCCACATTATCAAAAAAATAATAATATTCTTTTTTTGATAAAGTGAACACGGTGGAATCACAAAGATATCACCGACACAAAGAACTAAGAACCCGTAAAGTGATTGACAAACAGGCGGTTGCGCAATGTATTGTGCAATTTATACGAAGTTGAGGCGGAAGCATTAAAATTCTTTTTACGTTCACAAAAGAATAAGTTTTGAGAAGCGTCGCGGTTTGCGCATGAGAGACGTGAACAATGGTAACAAATGACGCCAAAGCTGGCATCATATTGGCATAGTCAACTAAAACTTACAGAATTCCTTTAGATTACATTAAGACAAACATCGATTAATGTTTTAAAGTCCAGTGTGCTTAATCCAAGTTACAGTATATAAGAACCGAAGAGCTTTCTGTTATTAATCTATTACATTATAGGTTTAATATAGTTTATTCAGTTAAAAACGGGTGACTATTTGTTTGTGTGTGACGAAGCAAAATAATGCTAAGCACACTATTGTTAGCGTATCTATGAAAAATACCTACAAGGATCTCTTATTTGCATTTGATGAATGTATTTATTATAAGAGCCTGCTGAGGGTAAAAGTTCGTTAGTATATATATACATAAATTTGTTATAAACAAGCCACACCTTTGACTGGAGAATATAAAACAATGAGACAATTAATAATATGAAAGTCCACGCTTCATTACACCACATAACAATAGTATTGTATGCGATACCGTATTATCAATACTGATATTAAGCTCCATAGAATATAAAAATAATTATCAAAAGGAGCCTGTAACTTAATCTATGCACATGTTCTATATAACGATACTATTGAGAACCTTCTTCTAGTTAAAGTTGGTTAAACAGAATACATTCACGAGTATAGGGGAGAGTCGGATATATCGTACCACTTTTCACTTTAACTCAAATATTTCGACTTTAACACGTCTTATAATAATTAATACATATGTAAAATAAAGTTTCATATTTTAGCTTCCTAAGAAGAAGAGAACAGATCCTTGCGATTATTCTAACATTGTTAAAAATGCTTTTTTACAGAGGCTTGCCATCGGTACGATTTAGCCGACTCGTCGTTTTAATCGTACCACTAAGTCTTTAAATCGTACCATGGGTGTTTAAGTCGTACCACTGAATGAAAGACATTAAAATTCTTAATCAAATTATTTATTTTTGACTGTTAGGTAAGTAATAAAACAACATTATTTATATCTTTTAGGTAATAGAAACATAATTTTTAACTCTTAGGTTATATAAAGGAACTATAAGGTTTCTGAGTAAAATAACATGATTATACTATGATAATGAGGTCAATCAACATAACTAATAAAAATGAGACAAATAAAAAAACAGTAAACTATAATAATAAAGTAACAGTTAACAAGAATGTTATTTGTAATATAATTACTGTGCATATTTCTTAATGGAAACAATCATGACAAATGTTTTCAAAAATTCGAAGTACACGTCTCATGTAGCCACCGTTTACAGCGAACGCATTGAATCGAATCAACTTTTGGACCCTTCTTATCGTAGTAAGAACAATTGCACTTTCGACATATATTTTCAAGATAATCATCGCTGTCATCATCATCATCTAGTTCTACAACAAGTGTCTCTCCTGAATCATCGCTACTGGTGATGGAATGAGATCGTTTCCTCTTATAACTTTTGTTTTTGGCCTTGGGTAGTACTTACTATACGTACTTGCGGTAGTACTATAGGTACTTGCGGTTGGTAGTCGGGTAAATCGTACCAGTACAATTTAACCAACTGCAAGTGGTACGATTAAACCAACTAAGGCATTTCTAAAACAAAAGCAAATATCCGGCATAAACTCAAAACTTAGACACGCAACAAAAACCCCCAATAATCTAGTATACAATTGTGGAATAATAAAAAAAAAACTGAATAACTATAGCTTACCTTGATTACGAGTTATCTCCTTACGAATGTACGACAATATTTATATTAATGCCTACAAAAAATGTTTTTTTTTATTACGTGCACAGTTGTTAACTCACGTCGATGTAAACTAGTGGGTGAAGAGAGATGGTCCAGGGCCACGATTTGGCGTTGTCAATGTAAAAAAAAAAATTC